TTCTAGAACCTTGCCACCCCTCCATTGAAGAGTGTTCCTCTGTGTTCACAATACATAACATTCCTGTTGAGGATTCACTTTTGAGAGATAGTACAGTTAAACGAAGGGAAGCATTAAGATCTTTCCTACCCAGTTCAAAGCTTCCATAATGGATACAAATTAATTCAGTTTATAATTTGTAGTCCTTTCCTTTTTTAACTCATTGAGTGTTGTCTTTTTAATAATATGTTCAAACTTTAATTGATATAAAATAGAAACCATAGTAAAAAGCAAGTACTGTGAAAAAAAAGAAGAGGCACATTTTTCAAAAAAAGAACTGAAAACAGTTCTATATACAGAAGTCTTATAAGTGAAATTAAAACTCAATGGGTAGAACAAAGAGCAAATTGAATAGCTAAACATAAACATACTTTTTTCATGGTGCAATTATGCTATTTTATTAACTTAAAATTAGATGTTTTATTGTTAAAGGTACATACTTAGAAAGGAAAAGACTATAATGGGTAATTTGGCCAAGTTTACCCATAATAGCCTGATTCCATCCACTTGTCAGTTAAGCCCTTTAAAAGTCACATTTATTTATTAGCATATTATAGTTGTATTGTGGGTACATTATGACATTTACTGAAGTGTTTACAATACATCTTAGATTCACCACCACCATCTTTCTTCTTTATCCCTCCTCCTCCACTTCTTAACGGGTCTCATTGCTCCATTTTCATACACAAATAAGAGTGGTAACTTTTAGGAAGATTCACTGTCAAGGATACCATGGCTAGAGTAACTAGCAACTGGACAAAACAAAATGAGGTGAGGTTCAGAATGAATGGTGTATGTTTAACTAGAGAATATTCACTAGAAATGAGTTGCCATGAAAATATATTAAAAATCAAAGTTAACGTGAATTCCCTCTCTGTAGAGTCTCTTATAGAATGTGGAAATAAGAGGAGAAGAAGAGATAGGGTCAGAGTGATCACGAGTACATTTGATGAAGTTAGGCCAGCCTGTGTTTGGATCCTGACTCTGCCATTATCACCTGTATGATCTGCTTTCCTCCTGCTTCAGTAGACATGATAAAACCTACACCACTGAGCTACAGTTATAACTAAGTGCCTGTGCTATGTGAAGTACTTAGAGCTGCATCTGGCATTTAGTAAGTGTTAGCAAACAGTTACTGTGTTTAAGGAACATGACAAATTTCTATGACACCTACAGTGGCCCAGCACTGATAGAACTCTGATAATAGGTAGATATCTGCCCTAACTGGTTTTTAGCCTAATCACAAAGCTAAAACTCAAAAATGAAACTGAGTAAAAAACTCTTTGCAATAATACAGCTGCTTAATTCTTCATCTCATGTGTGATTAGTTTGTCAAACTGGAAATTTTGGGGGAACAGCATTGACCAAAATATTGTCACCCTAAATAATCATATCGTGTATTTTAGAGGGTTTTATAAGGTAGTTGATGCATATTTCTTTATTTCACAGTCTTCTAGTGATATTCCCATTGGATTGATGAGGAAAACTGAGGTTCAGAAGTGTTATGTAGTTTACTATGAATCTGGGTGGCAGGAGGTAGGCAATGGATAGGGTCATTACCAGCCATGTGGGAAGGGACATGCACAGAAATGCTTCAGTGTAGATTCAGCAATGCCTGGTGACTGATTAACTGCAGGAGATGAATAAGAAAGAAAACTGAAGGATGACTGGCTCTTAGGATTTGCACCTAGAAGCCCTGTGAACCATGGAGAGAAATGTGATGGTGGGAAGGAACCATATGTCAACAGAGCAAATAAATAATTCCACTTTTGCTGTATGAGCATGGAGAGGAGTGGGAGACCTACCAAAAGATGTTAGTAGATCAGACTGCAAGTTGAGACCAGCCTGGAACCATGCTCCCCCTGGAGGCGGAATCAGTGGTCAAGAGAAACACTCTTCACAGCACACCAGCAATTGCTGAGGAGCAAGGCACATCCCTGTTAGGCTTTGCTGTGTTTTAAAGGGCTCTGATGCAGAGATTCTTCCTATTCGTTAACACAAAATGGAATAAGAACTTCTCCCCAGGGGCACTGATACCTTAGGATAATATCCACTTCCTTTTCTTATTAAGAATCTGAACCCACTGTGATATAATCCTAGCTACTTTGAGAGGCCAGCCCAGGCAAAAAGTCCATGACACCCCATCTCACTCAATGGCTGGGTGTTGTGGCTCAAACTTGTCATCCCAGCTACATGGATGGCACAAATAGGATGATCACTATTCAAGCTGGTCAGGCTTAGAATGAGACCCAACCTCATAAACTACATAATCACACTGATTATTTTAGATCGAATACAAGAGGGGGTCCACTCATGGCCTATAGCCAAAAGTGGCATGATGCAGAATCACCTCCCCCAGTGCAGTGATCAACACAGACTCAATCACCTACCCCTCAAGAACAAGAGGGAGCTGGTGGACACTGCAGTCCCTCCTCCAGAACCACAGGAATTGGGACCTTGTCACCGACTTGCCTCCACCCACTCAAGATGAGAGGAGACAGAACTTTGGCATCTGTTTTGAGAAGTGGCCAAGCCTCAGACAGTTCCAAAGTCTGCATGAGAGTTTAACTCTTTACCACATGCTAAAGGATTTTTCATTTACTTGACTAGGAACTTGGTTTGTGAAGGTCAATGGAAAACCCTGACCAATGCATTTTTGGCCACTTTTGATCCTGGCCTCCTTTCTGTGCACAGGACAAAGGGCAGTCTAATACAGAGGAATGAGCTTGTGACAGATGAGCCCTCTCTTTGTCCTTTAAATGAAATGTTATTCGCAGTGTCCTGCTTTCATTGAACTGTGTCTGGATCTGTTGTCTTTATCCCAGGTGGATAAAGCCTGATGGGCTCCTTGTTCCCAACTAAGCCCAGTTGGTCCTTTCATATGCTGACAGCATTGACGTCAGCCCTTGTGGTGGAGGAATAGTTGATGCCCAAAGGGAAAAAGAGGCCAAAAAAAGAAAACCAATCCAGTAAGGCCAATGCCATTCATTTTTACTTGGTAGGTTCTCAGCAGCTGTTAAGCTTTACTGGATTTTGATAGTAAGAAAGTTTCTAAAAATAGAACAATGAAATGTCAGAGTTAAGGAGATCACAGCAATAAAATAGCTCTACTCCAGGGCAATTTGACTTCACTAACTTGACTGAAAGTTGCTTTGCACCTTGCACACAGAGGCTACTGCCCCCTGTGAGTGCCCCACACACCAGTGTAAGGAGGAAAGCAACCACTTCTGAGGTTTTAAACACATTGCAACGGAGGGATCTCTAGAGAACATTCTTTACCCACCCCATGGCAAACAAAAAAAGGTTTAATCAAAGGGCTAGCTTTACTATGTGTATTTTGCTACAAATAAAAATAAAAACAAATGGCTAGGTTTTTGTCAACAGATAAGGAAAAGGACAGGATATTTTGTCAGTCCTTGGGCCTGTGTCACTACTGTCATTACCACCTCAACTCCAGGTCTCAAATGTCTACACTCACTCTGATGTCAGATTCCTTTCTATGGTTTCCCAATCTGCAGATGGCAAATGCCACCCCTCCCCCATCAATCTCTCCACACACTACCAACAAAACAGCCAACACAGGAGGCCACCAGCAGTTTCTTTAAAAGGGGCATCTCCAAATGTGAGAACTCAAAAGAAATCTTCTCCACTAAAGCAAATATCACCACCTCATCCAATGACTCAAAAATCACTTCCTCACCTCTTGTTTGACTGGATCTTTCATTCAGAACTGCAGAGTTGCAAGCATGCAGACTGAGAATGTCCACCTCCTCTTGGCCCTCCACCCAGAGGTCTTCTTCTTGTCATTTAGACCCAGGTCAACTGTCACCTCCACTGAGAAGCCTTTCAGAATTACTTCTTAAAATTTGGCACCATAGTCCTTTACCTATATTGCTACCCTAGTGCAATGTTAGGTTACTTTCTGTCTGCATGTGCCTCCACTGACTGTGCTCTCATGGATGCCACAAGTGTTTATTGTACTTTGTAATCTTCATGACGTTGAAACAATGAGAGATGTTCCAAAAACATCTAGTGAAGTAAAATAAGGAAAGTCTCCTAACAGTGATTTGACTGTAAAATAAGCCAATCAAAACTAAAACTCTTGCAACTGGAAAGGGCTGAATATTCATGTAACCCGGTCGGTCACCTGGTAACCACTACAGTGTCTAGACAAGTGATAATTATTCCATCTTGGGACAACTATAGCTGTGAGAATTATACAGCTGAAGGGAAACTTAGAGATGACCTCTTCCAAAAGATGAAATAAAATGATGGGTTCTAGATTTCTCAGCAACTACCTGCAAGGCTGGAAATAGAAGAGAAGCTAATATGACCAACTGCCCGTGTTAATCAGCTTTTTATCACGGATCTGAGATGGCCAACTAAATAGGAGGATTATTTTACCTCACTTGACCGTGTTGCTTTGGGACTGTGGCAGCACAGTATATCATGGTGGAAGAACATGTTGGAGGAGGTCCATTTACCTCATGACAGTCAGGAAGCAAAACAAGGGAGCCAGGAAAGGGCGGGGGTCCTGATAATCACTTCAAGGCAGCCCTTGATGACCTACCAAGCTTCCTTCTACTACCACCTCCCAGTGGCACCAGGCTTTAACACAAGGGCCTTTGGGGGAACATTTAAGAGCCATACTATAGTACTGCCACATCCATTTGGCCCTCACCACAATCCTATGGGAGCATTATCATTTTGAAATTTACAGTTGGACATGCTGAGACCGAGAAGGGTTAAGTGTCTTGATCAGGACTTGATCCCAGCAGTTGAGCTGGGATACAGCAACGGACCAACCCCATTCCATTTTCTATACCCCACGCCATCGCTGCATAAGATCCCAGGTTTTCTGTGACATTGTGAAATGCTCGTCTCACTCCCTAAGCAAATCTTGCCAAAGAGTGTTTTGAAATGCCTCCCTCTTTCTCACCTCCGTGTTTCTTGCTTTTCAGGAGAGAAGTATGAGCTCCACGCAGGGACTGAGTCCACCCCAAGTGTTGTTGTGCATGTGTGCGACAGCGACATAGAAGAAGAAGATGATCCAAAGACTTCCCCCAAGCCAAAAATCATCCAAACCCGGCGTCCTGGCCTGCCACCCTCTATGTCCAACTGAGCGTGATGCTCCACCTTGATGAGAATATTCGTCTCCTCCCTTATCATGCTTTTTTTTCCCATTTGTTGAAAAAATTAATTGCCTTTAAATCCCTGGGTGTTTGGTTGTTTGAGATTCCTTCCTCGTAATCAAGCCTCTTGGACAAAAGGGCTAGGAAAAGGTGAGATGTCTCCTGATCGTATCATACCCATCAACTATAATACATTATTTAGAAGGTTCTAGAAAGAAAAGTAGTATTTTCTTATTAAACAATCAGCACAGCCTGTATCTTCTTTCTCTCATGTTGATCCAAGCCAGAGACGTCAGTAACAAATAGCACCTGTGTTGTTTGTAAGCCGTTTCAGTCCCAGTCCTGGTGTGTGTGCGTTGTTTTTTTTCCTGACCACGTAAATAGGACCACAGGTAAACTTGACCTTGACTGCATGAGATATTCCTATCTGGTCTCACTCAGTCCTCTGCATCCCGACATTCCCAGGACATTGCATGATCACCAGCATTTATTTTCATGATTTGAGGAGATATTCCAACTCACACATTGTCAGCATCCAGCCATGTCCTATTTGATTAGGAAGAATAGCAGCAGCATCCAGCGTGACACACCTGGGTAGAGTCACTATTTTAAGTCCATACTTCATAGCTCTGTTAAAATTCCTGGAGGCAAAACTGAGCGTGGCCCCAAAGATATTCCTCAATAGATTCTGACCACCATGACCATGAAGAACTTCCCAGTGTCATTGGGGAGGCTTGTCCAGGGTGATAGAGACAGATTTCAGACAAACCTATTTATTGTAAAAGTCTCATGGTGTCTGAATGTTTGGTTTTTTTTTTTTTTCTCTTTGTATATTTGTACAAATGTTTCAGCTGTGCTTTTAAAATCTGGATGTTTTTTATTTAGTGATTGTTCAACCATTAGCTGCTTAAAAAACAATATGTGCATTGCTTATGAAAGCACTCATATGCTAATATTGATGACCTAACAATATTACACACTATTAGGGACAATGCTGAATTTTGAAAGGGCACAAAAATGTCTCATGCCAACATATAAATGATCAGCCAACATCTTTGCTATCGAGACCACTTGTTTTTAAATAAAGATGCAAGTGTTAGTTGTAGATGATTTGGATGAAGCTAAACCTCCAGAATGTAGAGCAGCTGAGTGTATTAAAATAGGAAAGGATGACAGATAAGTGTACGCCAGTTCTACTCATGCAATACCCTTGTAATCAAAACAGTTATTTGTTTTCATTACATGTGACTTTTGTATTTCTCTAGCCCAAAGTGCATTACAGAAGATACACCTATAGAACCATTACCTTCTGCTTTGTGCGCCAGGCCTCATCCACTCCTGTTTGTTAATGAATCACTTTAGATGCAAATGCAAGTTACAATCGAGTGGGGAAGTACTTTCATTACCTAAGCCTCAGAAAACACCCAAAATTAATAACACAGCCAACTGATTGAAGGATTACTGTGGTTTTTGATTAAGGTGTATGTCAATTTCTTCAGAAACTTCATAGACTGATCACTCAGAAATTAAAGTCCGTTCTACTGTGAATATAGCAATATAGTACTGGACAGTTGAAACTGAGGACAGCATTGCTTGTGAAATCCTGAGTTTCCACAGGAAAACCGAAGACTCCTTTAAAAATAAAATCTGAGGAGCGTAAAGTAAGCAAATGCTTTGACTTTCCTTGCTGTGGAGGTTTTTGGCTTTTCATTTACAAATGAAAAGGCTTAACAGTGGATAAATGATGCCCTCTAGTGGACAAAACATTACACTCAGCTATTCAGTTGGACAGAGAACTAATGACAGCCATCAATCATTTGGGGCTGAATCTCTTTTTAGCCATCTGTAGGTCATTGACTTCTAAGCCACAGTGAATTTTCAGAATGTGAGTTCTGAAGAAATTTAGATGAGAGGCGATATTTGGAAATAATTTCTAAGTGTTCCAAACAGTCATACCAGACATTTCCAACAATTTAGTGAAAGCTGACATGACCATTCTTTGTAGTTATAAAAACTCAGTGGCTTATATGACCTAGGTAGTTAGTCTTAGTAAACTGTATTACCACTTACCAATGCTAACCAGTTACAGATCAAGTTGATCTTTCACTAGATTGGGCTTTGGGGAGGAAGACAAGGGGAGCTTTTCCCAGGAGAGTTGTAAGAAATGGGGAGGGCTCCTTGCACTGTTTCTGTGGAACCTCCTGGCACTGTGAAAGTCACAATCACCTCAGCATTTCCATGATACACCTTATGCAAACCTCTTTAGCACTATTTTAAGTTTGAAAAATTTTTAAATGGAGGGAAAGGGGAAGATTTCCACCAACTGAATCATTTGTGCACGTGTATAGCTCAAAGAGCTTAGACTTCAAATATATCTGGTGAATGACTCTTTGTCCATGTGGTGTCATTTCTGTGTTGTCTGCCTAAGTTGCATATCCCCAATGGGTAATCCTGGAGGAGTGCAACTCAACCTGCAGTCTTTTTAAGAAGTTAGCAATGTATGGATTTAATACATCTAGGTTCTTCCTGAAATGAGCAATGGCAGAAACAGGTTGGCAGCCTTCTCTTAAAGGAAGAGAAATTTGAGTAGAGCCTGGAGAAATGGGTTGGGGTCTGATAAGGGGAGCTGGAAGAGCTCTGTTTTGTTGCCATGCTTCAACCATCTCATTTCTAAAGCCATTTCAAGTGTACTAACAATCTCTTAGCATTTCCTCACTGTATTCTTTAGTTCAAAACACCAAAGTCAGGCATTGTAGTATATGCCTGTAATTCCAGCACCTGGGAAGTTTAGACAGGCGGTTCATGAGTTCAAAGACAGACTGGTCTACATAGCAAGACCCTGTCTTGGAACACCACCACCAAAACCACTATAAGAGACATCCCCAAAAGAAAAACATTACATAGAATACAAAAAACTATCACAACCTAAAAGACATTATCTAATCTAAAACATGTTACATTTCATTAAAATAAGAACTTCTATTTACCAAATGACAGCAGTAGAAGACTAAAATGGAAAACTTTGGACTGGGAGAAGATAGTTGAGATACATGAAGTTAAGTAACTCATACCCACAATGCAAAAAAAGGAAAAAAGATATTTCTGTTAAATGGTCAACATACTTAAAAAGGTACTTGATGCACAAAGGCGATTCACATATACATATACACTCAAATGACCTATAAAGATTAAAAGGATGCTCAGCTAGCTACTCATTTCTTGTCTGCAAAATCAAATTAAAACCTCAAAGAGATACACCAGCACCTATCAAAATGGCTAAAATTAGATGTGGAGAGATACTAAGTGCTGGTAAGGATGTGGAAGAAGGGGAATATGCTTACACAAAGTGGAACTGCACTCTGCAACACTTTAGTAGTATCTCCTGAGTCCAAATATGTGACTGTCCAGAAGCTGCTCTACTCTGGGGTATGCACACAGCACAGCAGGCTTGGGCAATGATGTCCCTAGCAGACTCTCCAGTAACCATTAACTGGATACAATCCAAACATCCTTCAACTATGGATGACATAGTTTGTGTTATACTCATACAGAGGGATATTATAAAGTGACACAAAACACAAATTACCAATGCAAATAATGACATGAATGATCTCAAAAAATCACAATTTTGAGCAAAAAAATTAGACATCATAGAATAGATAATGTATGAATCCTTTCAGAGAGTTAAGAAATGGTCAAAGCCAGCCTATATTAATAGGAATTACAGCAGTGTTTACACTTGAGAGAGTACTGACTGAGCAAGGACACATGGGAGCCTTCCAGGTTGCTATAGATAATTCCACATCTTGATCTGGTTTGCAGTGGATATAGATCTATATACATAAGTTTCATTTAAAAATTTGTGCAATGCATTATAGAAAGCTATACCTCAATTTGAAAAAAAAACTGCCATGAGAATGGGGAGGAAGGAGCTATCAGTCATAAAAAGAAGGTTGGAATGGCCTCATACTTAAAACATACATTAGTTATCTTATGTCTGAGATATTTCCATACATGCAAAGCCCTCATTTAGAAACTTAAGTAAGTACTTTCTAAAATAGAAATCACAAGATTTAAGCATGGAGTGAGGCACTGTTCACTCAAAGAACACATATACCATCTATCTGAATAGGTTTCTAGGGAATAAGGTAGTCCCTGCCATGTCAAGGAAAAGGATATAGTGTGGGAAAGAGACTGGAAACACACAAGTAAGCAAATAAATAATGACAAATTTTAATAGTTTAGTACAGTGAAAAAAAAAAAAGGAACTCACTATGAGAACAGAGACTCAAAGTAGAAAACCATAGTCAGCAAGACCTCCCTGAAGAGTCCACTTAATGAATGAAGAGGAAGCCAGCCACAGAGTGTTAGGAGACACAAGAGGCCACAAATAGCCAAGGCAATACTCAGTCAAAAGAACAATGCTGGAGGTATCACAATACCTGACTTCAAACTATATTACAAAGCAATAACAATAAAAACAGCATGGTACTGGCACAAAAACAGACATGAAGACCAGTGGAACAGAACAGAGGACTCAGATATGAAGCCAAACAACTATAACCAACTTGTCTTTGACTAAGGCGCTAAAAATATACGATGGAGAAAAAGCAGCCTCTTCAACAAAAACTGCTGGGAAAACTGGTTAGCAGTCTGCAAAAAACTGAAACTAGATCCATGTATATCACCCTATACAAAGATTAACTCAAAATGGATCAAGGATCTTAACATCAGACCACAAACTCTAAAGTTGATACAGGGAGTTAGTAGGTATAGGTAAGAACTTTCTCAATGGAACCCCAGCAGCTCAGCAACTAAGAGATAGCATAGATAAATGGGACTTCATAAAACTAAAAAGCTTCTGCTCAACAAAAGAAATGGTCTCTAAACTGAAGAGAACACCCACAGAGTGGGAGAAAATATTTGCCAGTTACACATCAGACAAAGGACTGATAACCAGAATATATAGGGAACTTAAAAAACTAAATTCACCCAAAATTAATGAACCAATAAAGAAATGGGCAAGTGAACTAAACAGAAATTTCTCAAAAGAAGAAATTCAAGTGGCCAAAAAACACATGAAAAAATGCTCACCATCTCTAGCAATAAAGGAAATGCAAATTAAAACCAACTAAGATTCCATCTCACCCCTGTTAGAACAGCCATCATTAGCAACACCACCAACAACAGGTGTTGGTGAGAATGTGGGGAAAAAGGAACCCTCTTACACTGCTGGTGGGAAGGTAAACTAGTACAACCACTCTGGAAAAAAGTTTGGGGGCTACTTAAAAAGCTAAACATTGATTTACCATATTATCCAGCAATACCACTCTTGGGGATATACCCAAAAGACTGTGACACAGGTTACTCCAGAGGCACCTGCACACCCATGTTTATTGCAGCACTATTCACAATAGCCAAGTTATGGAAACAGCCAAGATGCCCCACCACTGACGAATGTGGTATTTATACACAATGGAATTTTATGCAGCCATGAAGAAGAACGAAATGTTATCATTCTCTGGTAAATGGATGGAATTGGAGAACATGATTCTGAGTGAGGTTAGCCTGGCCCAAAAGACCAAAAATCATGTGTTCTCCCTCATATGTGGACATTAGATCAAGGGCAAACACAACAAGGGGATTGGACTTTGAGCACATGATAAAAGAGAGAGCACACAAGGGAGGGGTGAGGCTAGGTAAGACACCTAAAAAACTAGCTAGCATTTTTTGCCCTTAACGCAGAGAAACTAAAGCAGATACCTTAAAGCAACTGAGGCCAATAGGAGAAGGGGACCAGGAACTAGAGAAAAGGTTAGATCAAAAAGAATTAACCTAGAAGGTAACACCCACGCACAGGAAGTCAATGTGAGTCAATGCCCTGTATAGCTATCCTTATCTCAACCAGCAAAACCCCTTGTTCCTTCCTATTATTGCTTATACTCTCTCTTCAACAAAATTAGAGACAAGGGCAAAATAGTTTCTGCCAGGTATCGAGGGGGTGGGGGGAGGGGGAGTAAGAGAGTGGGTGGGGGAAGCGGGGAGAAATGACCCAAACGCTGTATGCACATATGAATAATAAAAAAAAAAAGAAGTGTTGGGAGGAGAGCATGCTGGGAGGCTTGGAAAGGTTGGTCATGTTGAAGGAAACTCAAGGATCATCAGCGTAGCTGAAACTCAGGAATTGAGGGTGAACATGGCTCCACCTGAGTCTGTGAAAGTGGGCAAAGCCCAGGCTCTAAAGCCGGTGGGCCAAGCTAAGGACCTTGGAATTCATTTCAAGTACAACGAGAGTTTTCAGCAGAGGAGTTACATGATTTGGTTCACCTTGTGAATTCTAACACATGGAAGTAAGTTTCTTTCCCAGATCTAGAGTCCTAAATGTCCAGATACTCACTAGTGTGGGAGCGTGACCCTGTGTCCACTTGAGCCTGAAGGTTGCAGTGTTTTTTTTTTTTTTTTTCATTTTTCTTTTATTATTCATATGTGCATACAAGGCTTGGGTCATTTCTCCCCTGCCCCACCCTCCTTACCACCACCCACCCCTCGTCCCGCTCCCCTCAATACCAGCAGAAACTGATTTTGTCCTTATGCTCTAATTTTGTTGAAGAGACAGTATAAGCAATAATAGGAAGGAACAAGGGGTTTTGCTGGTTGAGATAAGGATAGCTATACAGGGCATTGACTCACATTGATTTCCTGTGCGTGGGTGTTACCTTCTAGGTTAATTCTTTTTGATCTAACTCCTTTTCTCTAGTTCCTGGTCCCTTTCCTATTGGCCTCAGTTGCTTTAAGGTATCTGCTTTAGTTTCTCTGCATTAAGGGCAAAATGCTAGCTAGTTTTTTAGTGTTCACCACTGCAAAATTCTCAGTATCCCGTGCCAGTATGCAGTGTCTTGCCTTGGTTCTAAAAGGGGCTTTTGTTTTGTTTTGTTTTTCCAA